GTAAGGTCATTTTAAGGATGTAGAAAATGGTCATGCACAATATGTGCTTTATAAGTACTAATAAGCAGCCAATATATTAATAATAGGCATGCTAATAATCAACTAGTTAATGCTGCAGTCTGAAGTTTTGCCTCTTTGTCGGCATCTCTGTTTGAAAACCTGCAATTGCAGCTATTTGCGGAATTATCTTCATTGCATGGGTTGTGAACCGGCACGGCTCCAGCGCAGAATGCAGCCTTTGTGAGCATAAGAAACTTTGGTCACTTTATTTTAAGGTCCAATTCTCGCTATTAACAAACCATTAACTATGACTTTTGCCTCAATAAACTACTAATTTGCTGCTTATTAATAGCTAGTAAGGTAGTTGTTAAGTTTAGGTATTGGGTCGTTTTAAGGATGTAGAAAATGGTCATGCACAATATGTGCTTTATAAGTACTAATAAGCAGCCAATATATTAATAATAGGCATGCTAATAATCAACTAGTTAATGCTGCAGTCTGAAGTTTTGCCTCTTTGTCGGCATCTCTGTTTGAAAACCTGCAATTGCAGCTATTTGCGGAATTATCTTCATTGCGTGGGTTGTGAACCGGCACGGCTCCAGCGCAGATGAATCTAATGTGTGGCTGTCAGTCACTGCACAGGTGTGGATACTGCACTTTGTATTCACTGATTCTACATCTTGATCCAAATAAGAGTTTTCACTGGAGAATGTCATCTGAACAAGTAAGTAACACCTGCCACTTTTGTTCTGATCAACTGAGGAAAAGCATTACAATAAATTGCGCTATCAATGGTGATTAAATCTAATGATCGGTTAGCTCATATCACATCAAACCATGCCAGTTATTATTACCGTTATACTTTGTTTTCAAATTCAATCCGCCATTTATTCCAGCTGCTGTGAGAAAAGGCTATAAACGACCACCTGCAGCATCCTCACGTGTGATATAGCATACTAGCCGGGACAACTTCTTTATGTTTACATACGTGACGTAATGATGCAGTGCTATGCTCGAATTTCCCGCGAAAGCCTACCCGTACCACTCAAATTAGAAAACTTTATTAAGCTTACCGTTGTGAATCGAGCTAAAGTAAGGTGATAGTTTTGAATACTGGCTGGTTATGTACTTGCTCAAAAATAGATTTTGGATCATTTTTAAAGGGGTCATAGGATGCTACATGCACTCTTTGAAGTTGTTTGAACTTAAATGTGTGTTGGCAGTGTGTGTACACAACCACCCTATAATGATAAAAATCCACCCAGTGTTTTTTTTTTTTAAATCTCGTTAAATGTTTCCCCCTTTCTCACCCTTTCTGACCTCACACAGACAGGCCCCTCCCACGATAGTTTGATTGACAGTAGCGTTTCAGCACAGACTGGACTGGCGTCTTACCTTAGACCCTCCCTGAGTGAGCTGTCATCAGTCCACCATTGTTTCACCGCCGGAGCAGATGTAGACAATAATGACTCCTAAGCGATTGAGGAGTTCTGTTGTTGGATGTAATAATGAACACAGGAGTCCTCATTTACTCCTGACATCTGAGCCGCTGAAATCGCAGTGGATTATTTGTTTCTGAAGGGAATGCACCCCCGATCTACATAAATGCGTCTATGTTCACGCGAATCATTCATGATCCAGCCTCATCTACAGAAGTGAGTATGTTTTGTAATGAATATTTGCAAATCGCCTTTCCTAATAATGTGCTATTTAGCAAGTTTCACGATGAATGCGGCTAAAGTAAACAGTCTCTCTGAGAGCAGCTCGGAAGAGAGGGGCGGGGTCAGCAGAGCTCATTAACATTTAAAGGAAAATGCTACAAAAACGGCTTGATCTGAAAAGAGCTGTTTTTGACAGGGTAGAAAATGTGTTTTTTTACATTACCATTGAGAAATTTTAAACCAAACTATGTTACAGACTTTTTATTAAGACCCTAAGAATCATATCAACTTGTGGAAAATGGCCATCCTATGACCCCTTTAAACAAAAAAGTTACAGACTGCAGCTTTAATAGTGAGAATTGGTACCTATACTAAAGTGTTACCAAACATTTAAATATAGTTCCAAACTTTAAATTACGAATTAAATATTAAGTATATATGTATATACAATACATTACTTACGACTTTGTTATTACTTATTGTATTATTTAAAGCTGCACTTAGTATTTTTATATTTAATTTAAATCTTAATTGATTTTGGGTTTATAAAAAGTAAAAAGCATCCCACAACTGATCACATTCTACATGGCCTGTCCTTACAAAACAGAAACAGAGAAACAAGTATCTCTGACCATGACCTCCCAGCTTTCATGCTGCCTTGCTTATAATGCACAGAAACTGACTGTGACACATCCCCACTCTGTCTGTCTGTCTGTCTGTTTGTCTCCTCCCTCCCACACACATGTGTTTATAACTGTACACGTATAAACCCATTATGCAAGAACTTCCCTCTCTCTCCCCACATTTCCTCAGCTCCACTCACAAGGGTCAAGTGAGGACATGCACAGAGAGGGAGAGTGAAAGAAAGAGGGAAATGGGGCCTCCAAATCTTCTGCTTACCTCTACACCGCAAAAATAACTTAATCTAAAAGTAATTTTCCCTTGTTTTCCAGTAAAAATATTTAAACATCTTTAAAACAAGTGATACTTGATAAGGAAATTTACACAAACAATAATAATACTCTTATGTTTATAGACTATATGATAATAACAACATTTTGTGAGGTTTATGCCTTGAATGTTTTTTTATGTAGTATTATTGGAAAACAGGACGAAAATACTGCTGAATAAAATAAAAAATAAATGCTGAAAAATCATTTTAATACTATTTTTTTCTCTCCATTTTAACAAGCAAAGGGAACATGATGAATCATATTCTGAGAGTAGAATGTGTTTCAGAGGTGTGCTTTCCGTGGGAGATTTCAAAAGAGGATAAAAACAATAAAGAGGCCACTTACTAGGGCTTAGACTGCTGGAGAGGTGAAGTTTTTCTGCACACTCAAATAGAAATACAAGCTTAATTTGAACAAAATATGAATAAAACTGCATGACCACACTGGAAGTCCTATAAAACCACTCCCGTCTCCACTTTTAGAAGCACTTCCTGACCCTCAGAGTGTTTATGAATGGCTGTATGGGAATATTCTGAACAGTAAGAAGCTTAGGCGCAACGGGGGGCCGAGGCAAGGGGGGAACATGTAGGGATGCTGAGAGGCAGACGAACTGCGGGAGACAGGAGGTCTTGGGACTGGGTCAAGCCTTTGGGGATGCAAAAGCTGTTACACGAGGAAGGGCAGACTGTGGACAGTGTCAGGTTACGTCATGCCTGCATGCACTGGGTTATGCCTCTTATATAATATGAAGGGAACGAGAGAAAAATGACTTAGTATGGAGTGTTGTTCTCTTACTGATTCTCATTCTTAAATCTGCTTAGTGCATCTGTCATTGGTTCATGAGAAATGCATTTAACGTGTGTTCACGTTCACTCTGAAGCACTCAGTAATTGGTGCTGATTTATTATACAAGTAAACCAGAGCCTACTGGACCTCATGCATGATCAGGAAGAATTAAAACAGGAATCATCCACGTGCTTTGCTTCATAGACGCTTGACCATGACACTTCTGAAATGAACTTTTGGAATAAATCAGTATTTGCATCCAAAACTAGGTTTCAGTGAAAGTACATGGCAAGTTTTTCTGTTGCTTACTGTAACAGCCTGCTCTAAAAGTGGATGTGAGGACATACCAGCGTCATAAACCCCTTAAGCTGAAAAGTCCCTTTCGTAATTATTGTACGTGTATTAGCACTAAGGGTTTTCTTAGCTTAAGCAGTTTGTTGCAACTGACTGCTGATATTGGGAAGAGTCTGAAATCAGGACTTGGAAGGCAAAGCCTGTTTGCATTTCCCAGAATATTAGTTTGATGTTACTGCCATCTAGTGGTTGCATTAGGGATATTCTGTGCTGAGAATACATACACCTCAACAAACGATTAGTTTAATGTGGTCTTTTTTTGACTTATTTTCCATTCAAAAATATCTCTTATTCCTTAAATCAAGATACATTTATATTATCATTTAGCAGACACTTTTATCCAAAGCGACTTACAAATGAGAAACATGACCAACTTGAAAACAAGTCTAAAAGAGAGGTTTGTCCAAAAATGTATTCCGAACCTTTTTCTTTCTTCTGTGGAACATAAAATAAGATATTCTGAGAAATGTCTCAGAGGGTTTGTCCATAGAGTGAAAGTGAGTGGTAACCAAACCTGTTTGATTCCCACCAATTATTTAAAGTATCTTCTGTTGTGTTTGGCAGAAGAAAGAATATTATAAAGGTGAATAAATTATTTTTGGGTAAACTACCTCTTTGATGTCTTTGTCTCGTTTCAATGATTTTTAGATATTAGATAATATAATAATAATAATAATAATAATAATAATAATAAAGTATATATATTTAGACATATATTTTAAGTGTTAGCAGACTGAATTGCTATAAAAAGAATTTAAAGTTTAATTAAGCTTTAATTTAAGATAAAATTTGTTGGTAGAAAACAATTATTTTACATATTAAGCAAATAACGTAAATATAAAGAGCTTCATTTGCTCAAACATGGCAGCAGGTCACAACAAGGATTAATCTTGCTAATTTATACTAACCTTAACTCTTTTAAAATGTTTTGAATGATAAACACAAATATTCTGATGTTTAAGCCACAGTTTGCATGGCCGTGTCATTTTATTGGGAAAAACAAAACGGATTCCTCATACAACAAGATACGTGTCCCAGAAGACCGATTGTAGTGAAATCAAAGGGAAACAAACACTTCTACATAAAAAAGCAATGGAAAGCCACCAGTCAAGAGGTAGAAATACAATTTACAAAATCTAATGCGGTTGTGACTAACACTGTGCATTCACTGTGTCAAAAAATAAAAATGAAGAGCAAAATTATTATTCATATTTAATATAATATAATAATACCATATTTGAAACTTTTATTCAGTGTGCCATGCCTGTCTCTTAATCGGCATGCTGTCACATAGATACTCTCGGTCTCCGTCTTCACTCCGGGGTCTCACTGGCAAGGTCACAGTGCTGTGAGATCCAGGTAACCTCTGAGCAGTGTCAGCAGAATGGCAGGTGACTGAATTCCAGGCCCTGCGTCTTGGGACACCCCATTTTCTCAGGTTTGGGTTGTTCATGCTTCCATCCAGTGCAGAAAGTATTCTCTTACCTAACTGAGCAGCAGGCCCCATCAGGGAGGACTCTGAGTGTGTAGCACGGCAATGTGGAAGGGTATTAATGACACCTTGAAGAGAAGCTGGAGTGTGGTTACATTCCAAAACAGAGGTAGATGGATGTTGAGGGAGCAGTGGCAGCTTTGGTGTTGGATCACGTCCCTCGAAGGTCACCTGCTGAGGCTGAGACTTTCTTCTCTGGTAAATTCTGCTCTGGATCTGCTGAAGTTGGAGCTCAAAGTTATAGACTTCTTCAGTCAGCTGGTTGACGCGGTCGAAACCAGCCATGAGGCTGTCAACACAGGGCACCAGGCGGTCCACATAATGGTGGAAGTCAAAACACCCTGAAATGACAGATGAATTGGAGGCCAAAGAAGAGGCAGATGATACCCGGCGAGGACCGATGGGACTGAGCGGGACAGAGCAGTTGGAGGCTTCAGAGCCCTGGGAGGATCTAGAGGGTGGAGGAACCATTCCCTCAAACTTGACTCTGTGCCTAAACTACAAAGGAAATAAAAAAGAATAGGTTTGTTTATATATATATATATATATATATACTCCAAGAGAAGTCCATAAAGTCCTGTACTTCCATGTTTTCCATTGATGTTTCACAGGTGTTTTACCCATATTTTGAAATATGCATCGCATTATATTGTGTATTAGAGTTAAAGGTGATGTCCGTAAACTTCCAAAGTTTTGGGTCCGTGATTTTTTAAAATATTTTGTAAGAAGTGCTCACCAAGGCTGCATTTATTTGATCAAAAATACAATAAAACCGTAATATTAAAATAACTGTTTTCTATTTGAATATACTTTAAAATGTAATTAGGGGTCAAGCACCGAAGGTGCAGTGGCACCTATTGTATCGTTAGCGTAATTTTTCTTCTTCCGCCGCAAGTCTATGGCAGCTTATGAAATTTGGCACACTGATAGAGGACAGTCTCAACACTAACCACAGCAAGTTTGGAGTCTCTAACTCCAACTCTCTAGCGCCACCACTTGTCCAAAGTTGCAATTTCTTTATGCTAATAACTTTTGAAGCATAAGGCACAAAATGAAAACTATTTTTTCCTCTGAATCCTTGGCTCATGCCGAGTCGAATGAACATGAAAAATTCAAAAATCGTAAGGTTTAGTTTTTTCGCTATTTTTAATTGTTCGTAAAACCTACTTTTTCGAACTCGTTCTAGACGGTTTGTCTGATTCTCACCAAAATTGGCTCAGATCATCTTCAGACTATGCTGGCAAAACATTATGGAATTCAAGTTGATTTGTCCCACCGTTCTCGAATAACGCACAAAGGAATTCTACGAAAAGCATGTAAAAATGGATGTGAGGCTATATCGCCGCAACGGTTTGGCGTATTGAGACCAAACTTGGTGTGTGTTATAACAAGCATGACCTGAGACTACCTGCAGTGTTTCGGCGCAGTGCCCCCTAGTGGTCAGGAGATTTAAAAAATGCAATTTTGCTTATAATCTCTGAATGGTTTGGCCAAAAATCACAAAACAGGTCTCTTTAGATTCGGTGCATCATGCCGAGTCGAACCATACCAATTTCTCCATGTCAGCCATTTTGGGTGTCGGCCATTTTTAATTTTGTCAAAAAATGCAATATTTTAAGAATGCTTAGACTTTGTTATTACCAAAATCGGTATACATCTTCGGCACCATGCCTTGATGGCACTCAAAAAGTTTTTGACCACCTTGTGGTCAAAAGTTATAAAGCAATTTATAAAAATGCTAATAACTTTTGCATACATTATAATATTGTAATGAGACTGATATTTATAGATTTCTTGCATCATGCTGAGAACATCGATACCAATTTTGCCATAATTGGCTGAACTTGCTGTCCGCCATTTTGATTAATGTTGAAAACCTACTTTTTCGAACTCCTCCTAGACCGTTAGTCCAATTTTCACCAAATTTGACTCGGATCATCTTCAGACCAAGCTGGCAAAAAGTTATGGATTTCGTGTCGATATACGAAGCGGTTTTCGTTTAGAGCATCACCGAATTTGCTGGTTAAGATGCCAAAATGCATCTGAGGCTGTATCTCTGCGAAACTTTGACATATTTGCACCAAACTTTGTATGTGCCATTGTCACCTCACACTGACCATGCCACATCAATTTGGTAACAGCGCCACCTATTAGTCAAGAGTAATAAACCATTCATTAACCATTAATAATTACATTCTTAAAAATGCTAATAACTTTTGATTGCATTAGTCTATTGCAATGAAACTGATATCAAAATATTCATTGGCTTATGCCTACAACATAGATACCAAATATGCCAGAGTAAGCTGAACGTTCTGTCCACCATGAAAACCTACTTTTTTTTACTTCTCGCCACTCGTTGGTCCGATTTTCAGCAAAATCGAGTTAGACGATCTTCAGACTGTGCTGACAAAAAGTTATGGATTCCGTGTCTATATATGAAACCGTTTTCTTTTTTCTAATTATCTCTAGTCGAGTCACTTTGGATTAAAGTGTCGACTGAATAAATACATGTAAAACTAAATGTCAATGAACCCAAATGTCCTGTGTTACTCTCCCTGAGGAAGGCATGGTCCGAAATGTGTTGGAGAGTTTGTCAAATTTTTTTTTTATGTAGCCATCTGATAATAAAGGCTTTTTAATCTGAAAGAATGCCATAGTCATCCTAAAATTTTCTTTGATGGACTGTTTCAAACCCTAGACCAGAGAGCACCTTGAACTTACAGTTTTCCCAGAGATGCACTCTCTACTATTGAACTTTGTTTGAACACAAATGTCCCTCTATAAAACATGCTTATTGCCTTTCATAGTTAAAAAAAGGAAAATTGGGGTGGGGGGATTATATATAATAGTCAGACATGGTATTTTTACCTCTTTGGTCTTGCTAAGCCCCATCCATAGCTTGAGGCGTTTAATGAGGAACTGTACCATCTCATAGTCCTGTGGCTCCATGGATGGTCTGTAAATGTCTGCCTGTACCATTCGGTATGTTCGAATCAATACAGCAGCACATAGGCGCCCCAGTACCCAAAATCCAATGCCCACGGCAGACAGGCAGTAGAGAGGTCCCACCACAGGATGATGCTCACAAAGTCGACGCAACCCCATGTGGCCCCTTAACAAACACAGCAGAGAGGAACTGGCCTGCCCTAAGGTCCTAAAGCCCTCTACTGAACCCGAGAAGAGCTGAAAGAGATGGAGAGAATGACTTGAGCTGCATTTGAGAAGCAAAAAAAGATTTAAAGGGGTCATATGATGCGATTTCAATTTTTCCTATCTCTTTGGAGTGTTACAAGCTCTTGGTGCATAAAGAAGATCTGTAAAGTTGCAAAGACTAAAGTCTCAAATCCAAAGAGATATTCTTTATAAAAGTTAAGAGTCAGCCACACCTAGCTAAAACGGCTCGTTCTAACACACCCCCACATGTCTACATCACGATGTGGGAAGATTTGCATAACACCGCCCAAATGTTCACGCAAAGAAAGAAGGCGTAACTTTTATTCTCGCTGTAGTATTGTTGCCACCGCCGCCATGTCGTGAAGGCACTGTGTGATTCATTGTGAAAGCGAAACTACGTTGTTTGGCCTTCCAAAAGAGGACGATATCCGCTTCGTCATGCCTAGAGCTGATCCGTGCTTGTTGCTGAGGAAATACAGCAACCTTGCGCTGTGGATCGCCGGATCTGCTTTCACCGTGGGCGAAGTGGAGTCCAGCCCGGGGTCGTCACATGTTGTTACCGCAAGCCCTCCAGATGCTCCTTCGTCGAATCCGCCGGTCGCACCGTTCTCAAGCCCTCCGGCCATTCCTCACTCTAGCCCCCGGCCTCTGCTCACTCTAGGTCGCCGCCGCTCACTCTAGGCCGACGTGTGTGACGCTGTGTTTCGTTGTGAAAGCGAAACTACTTTGTTTGTCCTTCCAAAAGAGGACGATATCCGCTTCGTCATGCCT